GGAGAATTACAGATCCCTACTGAACTGAACAGTAATTTGTTCCTTTGTATTCCTTAAGTTTATAGTTTTCATTTTTTCCATACCCTGCAAGGTTTGTATCTCCTCCTGTGGGTGACATCTTATCTAGACTGTCTCAGTGAAAAGTACTGATGGTAGATGCATTTCTCTCTTAAGTCTACATCATCCTAAACGCTATTCTGTGGAGTACAATTCTTCATGATATTTGAGAAGAGGGAGAGAGAGAGAGCTAGAACACCAGTGGTTGTTTTAGTAGGCATTTATCATGTGCCCATAATAAATTTTAAAATACCCTGCACACGCAAACCCATAAAACTCAGTTTGATTTACCAGGAGGTTTAATAAAATAAAAATTTCCTGAAATAATTTATAACTTTCTTTTATTAAAAGTGAAAATTCCACCATTAGTGCAAAATGTGGGGAAAAAAACAAACAATTTATTGCAGTAAATATCCTCATGGCAATGTTCCTGAAACAGATTTTAGATTAAGTACAATGTCTCTCAATCAACAACATCTTACTTTACACCTAGCTTATTGTTATCTATCATTATCTAGATATGCTTCTCCTCATATCTCCCAATGTTTAGGTGCAAAATAAACATATTCTTCCTAGAAGTTTAGCACATAAACACTGCGTTGGAAAAATTCTACTGTATATAAACGTTTGAAACAAAATTTCAATTAATAAAATGTGGCATTCTGCTTGTAATATTACTCAGTACATGCACAGCACTTTTATACTTGATCTCCTCAAGATGAAAACAACACAGAGAGAAATTACAGCACAAATAAACATACCTTTCTTCCCAAAAAGGAAATTTAGCCTAGCAGATTAAAAGTCTTAACCAAATTCACAATGCTATTAGTGGCAGAGTCAGAATCAAAATCAATCTTAACAGGCTCTAAATTCAATGTTCTTTTTTGTATACAACCCTCCAAATTAAGAGGAAGCATGGTCTCATGCACACTCAGATTTTAAGCAACTGTAATCACTAGAAGAATAATAACTGTGACACATCCTTTAACTCTTCACTGCAACCCCTCAGGCGCGTGCGCGCACGCACACACACACACACACACACACACACACACACACACACTCCCCCCCCCCACTCACACATACACCATTAAGAGAAGACTAAAGATTGACTATTTATTAAGTAGTAATTTCTTTGGAAACCCCAATGAACTGACTAAAATGTGGTAACAATATATCATAATTAAAGCAATGGAGTAGCATCACACACAGGAGACAGTTGGTGGGGGGTAGGGGATAGGCAATGGGGGGTGGGGAGGGAGGGGAAGGTGGGGAGGGAGAACATGGGGAGAAATGCCAGATATAGTATGCACCTAAAGTATGATAATAAATTTAAAGAGAAAAAGAGGCATCTTAGGAACAAGAAAAAAAAAGCAATGGAGTAAAATGTGACAAGTAAATAGTGAAAAAACAAAAAAAGTAAGCAGAAAAGTGACCTCTGGTTAACAACTATGAATGCATCAACAAGTTCAGCTTCAAATATATCTAAGAATTAATTAATCAAAAATCTCAAGGCACATTATCTCTGCCAGACATCTAGTTCCCAATATCAATGGTAGCTCTCCTTATTGGAAGGCTAGGTCTCTGGGGCAAGGTTCTATGCTCAGTAATATTCAAAGGATATCTCCTTTTCCCCAGAAGTTTAGGAACAATATTTTATTTGATTCTTTGTTTTCTCTTCTTTGCCAATACAACAAAGAATAATGACAACAATATAACAGTAATAGTCAGCTAGTGAGGCAAACTATAATTTTGAATTCAATAATCTACTAACAAAAAGGAATTGATAGGTTTTTAACTCACTAGAATTATCTCAGTAAGGAACTCAGTTCTCCATGTGGTTTACATGACGAACTGACAAAAAGTTTGTATGTATGTTTGTTGATGAAAATATATAAACGTCAAGAATTGTAGGAAAAAAGTATATATATTTTTAGAGAAAGAGTCTTGCTCTGTTGCCCAGGCTGGAGTGTAGTTGTCTGATCATATCTCACTGCAGCCTCTAACTCTTGGGCTCAAACAATCCTTCTGCCTCAGCCTAGTGCATTTTATAGACAGAATCATCTTTCATTAATTGTATGCTACTTTCTTATACTAATATAATTTTAATTGAATGTTTTTATAGAATTACAATATAATATATATATTAAAATGTATGCACTTTATAAAAGAGAGATTCTCATCTTTAATTTATATGATTTATCTCCATTGTGTAAAGTACTAAGATTTTATGATTATAGAATATTATAAAATAAATGTTTTCCCTCAAATTGTTATTTCATCATAGAGCTAAAAATTACCTGTTGTAATCCTAAGATCAAGTTCTAAAATCAGGAACTCCTATAGGAAAAATTCTAATAAATAATTTTGTCTCTAGGTCGAACATACTCTATAGATTGCCACTATCGCAGCTAGATTGTACGTTATAGAAGGTATAGTGATTTTGAGAAACAAGTTGGAAATTTCATATTGTAGCTAGATCATGGAGGATTTTCACTACAAGACAAAAAAGGAACTTCTTCAATAAATGATGGGAAGTTTGGAGAAGAGCATGACATTATTAGAACATGACTATATGAAGGTGATTCTGACACCAATTGCTCAAATCTGCTGAAGAGCAGATAGCTTGGAGCCAGTGAAAACATTGAAGAAGTCATTTTAATAGGTACAGTGAAAGACAATGCGGTTGTATGTTTTACTTCAATGCAATAAAATAAAATAAGCAAAAATAAGAAAACTGGTGCCTGAATTACGATGGCAGCACTGGTAATGAAAATAGGTGAGCTACTTTGGAGTTAGAGTCAAGAGCTTGGGACGTTAATGGGTATGAGGATGACGAGGAATGTTGCTACAACAGTTATTACTATATTTTAGCATTAATACAGTGATATCAGGCTCCCATTTAACCTACAGTGAAATTTCTATAAACGAAGTACTATTAAATAAACAAACACATAAATAAGCAGATCTTAACAAAAGTGAAACAATTAGGTGTCCCAAATTAACTTGCTTCATACAAATGAATGTATCTTGGTTTTATGTATGACTTGTGCTTTTAGATATTTACCTGTAAGTAATTCACATAATTTTTAAGATGTTAAAAACTGTAAGATCACTTCATACAGTTAATTAAATGATGCTTTTTAATTCTTTGTTAATCTCAGAAATGTATTTACTAGAAAGCAACTAGAAAGACAGAACAAGTTGCAGAAAACTAAGATTAAAAGAAATATCATTGGCCTGATTGTACAATCTTTATTACTTTACGGGAATCCATCGTGTCAACTATTAGTGGTAAAGAAACTCTCATTAGGAAAACACAAAATCTCTTTAGTGAACATGAGCAATAGATGGCCTGCTGTTTGAATACAGATAATTATTTACATAATATAACTTGCTTACATTATCATTAGAGAGAAGGAATATTTTAATATGTTTAATACTTCATCAGTTGAACACAAATTTGTTAATACCTGTAAACACATTGGGATACGTAAATTTGAATTATTTATCTTTAAGTATGTTTATTTTTACGATTTAATTAAAATGATAATTTGTTTTTTGATCTTAATTTTTCCATATTTCAATTGAATTTGCAGTTTTTACAAATGTGTTGTATCAACACCTTTTAGCTTTATTTTATAAAATTCTAACATACGGCATAGCTTTAGTGCTTTATTCATAACAATTGTGATCTCTGAATATCCTTGCCCTCTCCTTTGCTACCAAAATTAGCTAGATGCGTTTTTAAAATAATTAGCTTCATTAACTGGATGTTAAAAGCTACAAAAACATTTTAAAAGTTGCTGTGCATAAGAGAAAAAATTCCACTAAACTAATGAATCTCACGACTTATAATTGCTTATCGAGCTGACAACTTATCCAGGGGGACAATAATTTATGCTTTTTTGTATTCCAAGCACCCAGCACAGTGCCTGGCATCCTCAATACATACCTTAGTTCTTTTTGAATGACCCATAACTCAAGTAATCAGCCAAAAAATGTCCACTATTCTTTCTGTGGGTTAGCTTTATCTCTAGAAAATTACCAAACAACCAATGAAGATATGAAAACTGTAAAGTGCCACAATCATCTTTGGGATATTTTCAGAAAGTTGACTTGAATCATTGACAATTTCTAAATAATTTGATTGGAAGATTTAAAAGTCCAGTTACATTGCTAAGTGAAATCATTTCAAAAACCTCTCGCACTTTCCAAATCATTTTGTATATTAATTACTTATGGTTTAAGATTGTTCACATAACTGGAACAGATATTACTACCTAAAAATTCACTCTTCATGAATCACTCTGTGCTAAGTATAGCCACTTCCTTAAAACTACTGCTTTATTAAATTTAATTTCATTATTTTAATAGTGCTTTCTGTTTCTATTTTCTTGGTCAGAAAGAAAAAAGCTTGATCACTTTACACAGTTTATCTGAGCTTTTCACAGTTTGTCCAACTATTCTATTTATGTAAGCAGCCAACTGTTTTGGAGATTTCTTAACCTCCTTCATGTTCTTATTAGTGAAATTACAAATCTTTTTTCTAGGAAGATCAATGAAATGATCCTCATTCTTATTACGAAAGTTCCTCAATCTCTACAAAAAAAAATTAAAAAACAATTAGCTAGGCCTTATGACGTGCACCTATGGTTCCAGCTACTTGGGAGGCTGAGGCAGGAGGATCCCTTGAGCTCAGGAGTTCAAGGTATCAGTGAGCTATGATCATGCTATTGCACTCCAGCCTGGATGACAGAGAGAGAGAGAGAGCCCCTGTCTAAAAGAGAGAGAGACCAAGAAAAAATGCTTGGTCAAAAAGCATTATACAGAATCCCTGCGGGCCCTTCACGCGGCTGCGTTTGAATGGCCCTGAGTGGGACTCGGTCCAAGCCAAGGGACACTCTGGGCTGCCAGGGGGATTGTCGGTGACAGGGCTGGGCTGAGGTGCTGTGGTACCATGAGGCGCGGGTGCTTAAGAGATTACAGCATCGGAAACACACAATGTTAAAAAACGGAACTTTTGTAATAAGAATGAGGATCATTTCATTGATCTTCCTAGAAAAAAGATTTGTAATTTCACTAATAAGAACATGAAGGAGGTTAAGAAATCTCCAAAACAGTTGGCTGCTTACATAAATAGAATAGTTGGACAAACTGTGAAAAGCTCAGATAAACTGTGTAAAGTGATCTATGGCAGAAAGTTCCCTGGAAGTGGGGGCTGTGACATGGCAAATAAAGAGAATGAACTGGCTTGCACAGGCCACCTGCCTGAAAAATTACACCATGATAGTCAAACATACTTACTTAACTCCAGTGATTCTGGTTCTTCACAGACAGAAAGCCTATCATTAAAACACAGTAGGTTTTTTCCTGAGGTTTCTCAATTTTTGTTCAGCAGGAATTTGAGATTGAATGTAGCTTTAACTTTCTGGAGAAAGAGAAGTATAAGTGGACTTGCAGATTATTTGTTGAGGATAGAAGATCTTGGCGTTGTAGTAGAGTGCCTTCCTGTGCGCACCAATAGTTTACAAGAAGAAAAACAATATATCTCACTTTGCTGCTGTGTAGACTTGCTGGCTCTAGTAAAGTCACTACTTACAATCGCATTTGAAGAATATGTCATAGTTGGTTTAAACTGGCTTCAAGCAGTCACTAAAAGGTGGTGGTCAGAACTATCATCCAAAACAGAAATTATAAATGATGGAAATACTCGGATTTTAAAACAACAATTAAATGGATTATGGGAACAGGAAAACTATCTTACTTTGGTTCCAGGTTATACTGGTAATATAGCTAAGGATGTAGATGCTTATTTATTCCAGTTACATTGAGAAATTTCATCTACTAATGAGCACTTGGTTTTTCAAAACATTCCTGAACTACATAATTAACAAAAATAAAAAAAAATCTGGTCTGAGAACTGTGAACTGTGGAAGAAATCAAAACTATTTTTTCTTTTAAAAAGCCACATAATGAAACCACGAATGAAACCCTAACAATCTTCTTCACATTGAAGTGGAAAAATATCCAAAAGGAGCAGCTTCAACTTCACAGAGGTGAAAACGCACTATGAAAATTGTTCACCTTTGCTGCATTTGGGAGTTATATGGTTATTTGGTAACATTAAGAACTACTGGATTTTAATGCAGTCCTGCATAAGAATATAATTTATACTATGTGAAAAAATAAGAGAGGACTTATTACTAGGAACCACCAAGACCAATCATCATTAACTTTGTTAAGGTTATATTTTATTCTAAGAAAAAAAAACAAAACTTAAATGTGTGCAGCTGTTTTCTTATGATGAAAAGACTGAAAGTTTAAAACATGGAAAAATCAATATTAATTTTTTTTGTTCACACTGAAAAAAGTATTATAAGTATAGTGGTTAAATTCATAAAACTGTGTAAAAGTTCTTCATGATAATAATACTGATAATAATTTAACTTTATTTAGAATAATGACCCCCAGTTCCATGTTAAAATTAAATAATAATAATAATAGCAATAATTTCTTTTAACTTGTTATCTATCATAATTAAATATAAAACACTAAATGAAAATGACAGGAAAACTTAGAAAAAATACTGAAAATAAATATATCAATGGGAAAAAATGACAGTAATAGCGTATGTTTTAAACAGAAATGTTGTATAGTATTAGAATTTCAAAAATTAAAATACATTTAAAAATCCATGATAAATCTGCTCATTTAATACAATTTTATCAATTTTGATTAAAGAGTGTTACCAGGGAAACTCATATTTTACAGGTAATTAAGTATCCCAAACCATATTGCAAAACACATGATTCTATGCTCTGCCTAGGTATTTCTACAAAAATATACCAATTATACTCATGTTTTTCTAATAAAAACTACATGTTCACAGATATCACGACGTTTAGCATCCCACTCACAAAACATTAATTATCCAACCTACTATGCGATATGCTGTAGATATAGAAACATCTACAGCATATAATTGTAGATATATTTTGTCTAAACATCTACAGATTTAGACAAAATCATGGGACCACAGATGAATGTGACTAACACCATGCTTAATGCAAATGGAATGCTTCTCCTGTCCTGTTTCTCTTTTTGTAAATAATTATTTCACAGACTTAGTTTATTTGTGAAATGGCAGCCTTATCTTTTTGGTAGGGCTGAAATTTCTGTTCATTAGTAGTGTACTCCTCTGACCTCTTCCAGAGTTATCTGAAGAACTAAATCTCTCCTTAACATAGAGAACACAGAATGGTATATTTTATTTTTTGTTTCTTCACTTGAGACAGAAATAAAAGGGAAGGCCCCCAAAAATTATTGGTACATGTAATGGATTATCCAGCGTCCACTTTACTTCCAGAGACAAGATTGATTAAAATGAGAATATTGAGAACTAAGTAGATCATTTTTATCCAATCCCTTTGTGATAGAAGTCTAAAATCCTCCTCAAAACCCCTAAGACACCCATTCTAGTCTCCGGGATTATGACGATGATGAGATGCCTGTGATTGTGTTACACTGAGTGGCAAAAGGAATTTTGCACATGAAATTAAGTCACTTACCAGTCGACTTCACATTCATCAAAAAGAAAATCTTCTAGGTAGGCCTACCCTATTTACACGAGCCCTTTAAAAACAGTATTTCTTTTCTAGCTGGTAGAGAATAGGATATCAGAGACACTGGAAATATGAGAAGAATTCATGCAGAAGGTTTCTCCGTTGTTGAGATGGGGTGGGAGGTTCATGAATCAAGGACATAAAGTCGTCTCTAGAACTTAAGAGAATGGCCTCTTGCTGATGACCAGTAAGAAAATTGGGACCTTGGTTGGGTGTGATGGCTCATGCTGGTAATCCCAGCACTTTGGGAAGCTGAGGTGGGTGGATCACTTGAGGTCAGGGGTTCAAGGCCAGGCTGGCCAACATGGTGAAACGCCATCTCTACTAAAAATACAAAAATTAGCTAGGCGAGGTGGCACCAGATTCTAATCCCAGCTACTTGGGAGGCTGAGGGAGGAGGATCACTTGAACCCTGGAGGTGGAGGTTGCAGCGAGCTGAGATCGTGATGCTACACTCCAGCCTGAGCAAGACAGCAAGATTCCATCAAAAAGAAAGAAAGAAGGAAAGGAAGGAAGGAAGGAAGGAAGGAAGGAAGGAAAAGAAAGAAGAGGAAGGAAAAGAAAGGAAGAGAAAGAAAGAAGAAAAAAGAAAGAAAGAAAGAAAAGAAAGAAAGAAGGAAATGACAGAGAAAAAATAAAAAGAAAATGAGGACCTCAGGAACTAAATTTTACCTATAATCTGAATGAAATTGGAAGCATATTCTCTATAGACTCCAGATAAGAGCCAGCATGGCCAATATATTGAGTTTAGCCTGTGAGACCCTAAATAATGAACCCAGCCAAGCCTACCTGGACTTCTGATCTACAGAACTGTGAGATAACAAATGAGTGGTTTCAGGCTTCTAAGTTAGTGGCAATTTATTACACAATTTCCAAAACTAATACAACATTCATTTTTTTTAAGTAAAGAAACTGAGACCCAGGGAGGTCCACAAATAGAAAATGATGTGTCTCTCTTCAATAATCACATCCCAACTGGTACACAAGCATTATGTTCTTCTATTGGCAACTGTCTATGAATCCCACAAGGCAAAGATAATTAGTATTTTAAATAACCAAATATACATAACTGGCAGGGAAATAATAAATGAATGACTGAGTTATCAAATGTACCAATGTGGAAATGATTGTTATGCAGACCCATATCTTAATTAATTGATACTACTTTCATTTTAGGCACGGAAGTAATAAACTGATGGGACTTCCCATATTAATAGGTCCAGAGTCTTCGGGTGCTCATAACAACTTTACTTCATATACATTCAATTAATTATGTAAAAACAACTTCTAGAGATAAGCTTAATTATTCTGACTTAGCTAGTTTCATTATGGGACATTGAATGAACATGCAAAAGTTCCTAGGTGTTTGCAAATTTCAGAAATAAATATAAAATCAACTATCTTTGTATAGACCTAAATAAGCTTTAAAAATACATCATGTGAAATTAACGGAGTTTCTGAAATCCTATTAAGGAAGAGAGAAACTGCTTATGTGACTGTGGAACCTGTCATTTGCTAGAGTTAGAAAGTGTTTGTTCTCAACAGCTTGTCAGGCATTAAAAAAATATCAAATTACAGGTAGTATGATGGTTAATATTAGGTGTCAGCTTGATTGAATTGAGGGACACCTACATGGTTGGTAAAGCATTGTTTTTGGTTGTGTCTATAAGGGTGTTTCTAGAGGAGACTGACATTTAAGTCAGTGGACTGGGAGAGGAAGACGTAGCCTCAATGTGGGTAGGCACCATTCAATTGGCTGCCAGCATGGCTAGAAGAAAGAAGGCAGAAGAGGGATAAACTTGCTTGATGAGTCTTCTACCTTTCTTCTTCCCATGCTGGATGCTTGCTTCTGTTCCTCCTGCCCTTAGACATCAGACTACAGGTTCTTTGGCCTTTGGGCTCTGAGACTTGCAGCAACAGCTTACCAGTGGCTCTAGGACATAAAAGCTTCCCTGCTGGCTTCCCTGGAGGCGAATTCCAGACTGTGTTACTACTGGCTTCTCTCTTCCCCAGCTTGCAGATGGCCTATCGTGAGACTTCACCTTGTAAGCGTGTGAGCCAATTCTCCCTAATAAATTCTCTTTTATATATACATATATTCTATTTGTTCCGCCCCTTTGGAGAACCCTGACTAACAAAGCTATATTAGGATCCTGCAGCTAAAAAACAACATAGAAAAAATCTAAATATTCAGGATGTGCCCAGATACCAGATTCTTTGTTATCAAGTGTGTGTGTGTGTGTGTGTGTGTGTGTGTGTGTGTGTGTGTGTATACTTTATGTATGCTTACTGGCATTATCTACAGCAAAATAAGGATGAATTAAGTGATATCAATTGTAGAGGCAGTTTAGTGTCTTGAAAAAAATCACTGAAGCAAGTAACAGACAGTAGATTTGACTAGTCTCTCCTTAACCCAATTTCTGAGTTGGCTTGTTTTTACCTTGGTTGGTAATGCTCCTTCCAATTTATGGATATATTTTAGAGATGGGGCTAATAAGTTGTATTTGCTTATATATGATATTTTTCTTTTCAACTATAAGTCCTACTCCTCCTCTGTAATTTCGTTTCTAATGATTATAATGTTATAATGATGATCAAAATTAAAAGAAGAATGAACATGTGATTTTTAATCAGTAGAGCTTGAGTTTTATCCATTTTGCTTTTGATTCTGTAGTCTTCTGGCACAAATTGTTTGCATTTATTCAAATTGTTGATGCCCTCAGTTCATCTTTAAGATATTGAATTTTCATGTTCATGGACCATTACACAGAGGGATTTGATTTTTGTAGCTAAGTCATTATTTCTGAGAGAAGGTTTTCTACTTTTCTGTACATCCGTATTTTAGTGTTTGCTACACATCAATATGGTGGTATACTTTGCTCCATGTGTAATGACTGCATTAAAAGGAATACTGATCTATAGTCTTCATTTTGTTAGGTCAAGCATGAGTATTTTCTCAGAGAAGATTAAAATTATTATTATTATTATTTTTTTCTTTGAGATGGAGTTTGGCTCTTGTTACCCAGGCTGGAGTGTAATGGCGCGATCTCGGCTCACTGCAGCCCCCGCCTCCTGGGTTCAAGCAATTCTCCTGCCTCAGCCTCCCGAGTAGCTAGGACTACAGGTGTGGCCACCATGCCCAGCTAATTTTTGTATTTATAGTAGAGATGGGGTTTCACCTTGTTGACCAGGGTGGTCTCGATCTGCTGACCTCGGAATCCACCCGCCTCGGCCTTCCAAGGTGCTGGGATTATAGGCTTGAGCCACTGTGCCCGGTCTAAAATTATTTTTTGAGTGAATTAATAAAAATAATTAATTTTCTACAGGCCTGCTTCAATATATGCAGGCCAAGAGCACAGTGAGATAGGAAGCTTCTCTATCATGGCATTTGAATGATCTTGAAAGTGAATGACTCTTAATTTTTGTACCTCAACTTTGTCTCAGATCTATAAGGTACATTGACTGATTTTTACATTATTTAATTTTGTGTCATTTTTTTTTTGGTAAAGATGCTATGCTGAATAACAATTGCAGATGTACAAAATGGACATGTTTGCATTTTTACTGTTTGTACAAAAAAGAACAAAAATGTGATACAACACACAAAATGTATTTGAAGAGACCAGTGCATATGCTCACCAAGATGTTTCTTTACAATGATGAGACAAATCATACAACATATTATACAATGGATACATAAAAAATAAAAAGCTATCAATTAAATAATACCATCAGAGAA